CTTTGACAGCAGAAAAAATTAGGAGGGTATCTCCTCCTAGGACCTTCTTTAACACCCTACAGAGACTGTTTCCTGTTCATACGGGACAGGAGAATGCATTTCATTACCGGCAAACTTTAGCTCTTGCCTTTATTTTGTAACCCTTCAGTTCTAATCTCTCAATGAATCTTTCTCCTTCTCTGGGGCATGGCAGCAGTGACCTTGCCTCCCCTTGGCATAACGAATGAGTTTTCCCATATATCTGCTTCAGTTATCTGTGACAGGAGCTGTCCTTGTGCACTCGAAAATAGAAGCGAAGCTGCCTGGTCGGGGATGATCTTTGGTGTTCCTAACACCAGAACACACTTTTCAGTTGTGACTTGTAGCTTAACTTTTATTTGGCTGAACCTCTTACATGTAGCCTTGGAGAATATTAGAAAAAATGTTAGTGAATTGGAGAAGTTGTGACTATTGTCTTCATTATGCCCTTTCTAGAATGCAGCCTAGGCACAGCTCTGTGTATTACTTTGCTTGTTTCAATTATGGTTTCTAGTGAGAGCAGACATAGTGCAGGCACTGCTAGTTCTTGGCCATACAAAGCTGTCTCTATGCAGTACTAGACCTAAAGTTAAAAGTAACAGTGTTAAAGCCAGACTTGTAAATAATTTGGAAGGGATTAAAATGTCATCAGATATGTTCTGGTGGCCACTGTGTTTGTGAGGCTTCAGAATAATTCACCCTGGAGTCTGTAACTTGGAGAAGGCAAGGGAATGCACAAGTGGAAAAAGCTTGCACTGGGAGACAGTGAGTAGCAATAGTGTGCAGCTGCAGTTGCTGGTTCTTCACACATGTACATCACAGGCTGTGGTGGTGTTTATCCACAAGGTATCCAGCGTGCTAGAATTCCAAGCTTTATGCTACAGGCTGGCTTTTTTGGTTTTGCATAGCTGCATCAGCTATAACATCCCAATTGTCTGTGCTGATGGAGAAGGCAGCTTTTAACAGTTGACCAAATTGCTTTAGCTCTGCTAGCATATACTGCATCTCTAAGGCAGGGCAAGGCAAGACAGTGGTTTGTTTTACATGAATAAGCTTTGTGACAGTAAAGGAGAATGAACACTCAGTTTTTCACCTGAAGCCAAGGCAGGATTGTTGCTGTCAAGTCATTTCCATTTCACAAATGGTTGAATATGAATTGCTTCTCTGAGGGCTGTGGAGTTTTCAGCAAAACAGGTTCCACAGGAGAAGATTTTTTTTCTAATTCCAAGTCCTCTTTTAATTTAATCTTGTTACACTTTAGTTATAGCCTTTCCATGCACAAGATGTAACAACTTCTGATTGATATGTTCTGTTGTTTGGATATATTAAAGTAGGTGCTATATGGGAGGCATACCCTATGTGTGGGTTTCTCTGCCTTCCTTGATTCTTCTCTCTGTTGTGTGTCTGTGACTGGAAGCTGAATAGATGGGAACAGACTGGAAAAACAACTTGGAAGTATGGACAAAATCCTCTGTTCAGGCTGTTTCATTTGGGAAGCTGAGGAAAGCTTTCCAAATCACTAAGTTTTCAGATTTCCTGGTTTTAAATTTTTCTCCAATACTGCCTTTTAAATAATGGCTTACTATTAACACAGTGAGTGATTCTTTCCTTTCTCCCCCACTCCTCCAGCAATTCAAGGATGGAAAATACTAAAATTCAGGTGTTTTCTTACAGATTTTACACTTCAGCTGTTTAGCATTAGTGAGATGATATTAGTTTTCTAGTGCTGAGTGTCTTTTTTGATTAGGTATTTGTCTCAGTGAGGGTTTTTGGCTTCTGTGTTTCTGTGGATGATGCTGATTCTACTTAAAATTCATATACCTCCTTGGCTGCTCAGGTTTAGCAGATCAGACTGGGACTGGTGGTAGGCACAAGTTATAGGAGAACTTTCTCTGAGCATTCAAAGTCTAGAGCTCAGAAGCCTGTTGATCGCAGATAGACCTAAAATAACCAGCAGCATTTTCCTGAATTCTCTAAATCTCTAGGGCATATATGTTTCACAAGCTGCTGGCTCAGAAAGCTCTTCTTCTGACAGGCAGGTGTGGAAAAGTTTTCAGAGAGCTCATCTGCTGTCTACTACCACATTAGGGAAGTAGTCTGTCAGTAGCTACTCTTACTTGCTGCTGAAAATTCCTGCCCTGCTTAGGGGTTCAAGTCTGAGATTATTTTGTGGTAAGGGGCTTCTAGTTATGACCCTTGAGGATCAGAGTACATTGACCTTGTCTTTTCTAGAGCACAATGCAAGATAGATTTATTTTTTTAAAAGAGGCAATTTATTTTTTTTTCTAAACTGCAAGTATCTCTATAGACAAGTCAAACAATTGAGCAGAGGAAGAGTGGAAAGATCTCGTTTGGGAGACACTGGAGTTTCTCAGTTCTTGTTTTTGGTGACTAGATACACTGGTGACTAGTAAGTGTAGGAATTAAATAGTTGATGTGGTAAGAAATATTTCCAGTTATGGGTACTAAGGAATTGAAGCTGACAGCATTGATAGTGGCTCTGTTCTATCCAACATTATGTAGGCTTGTGCTTGGATGTGAAGGCACAGCAGAAAATGTTAATGTGAAAATTAACAGAACCCTTATCCTGTCCTCAAAAAAAGGACTCTCCTTGCACTTATAGGATTACTCTGCTTGTGTGCCGTTTGTATCTCTGCTGACAGCCTGGACCTGTTATCACCAGACAAAGGCTGTTCTTCACAGATAGCTCAAAGAAGAACTCACCAGTACGAAAGCACTCTGAGGTCTTCTCCTTTCCCTGAGTGCCAAGTGCTTTGTTAGCACTCTCTGCTGAGTGATACACTGACTTGCAGCTCTCCCTCCCAAGCCTAGTGCAGTATACAGAAGTGGAGTAATTTTTATTTTTTTTTTAATGCCTTCCTTCAGAGCTAGTGCAGAGCTTTAATCCCAAAGAACAGAAGTCTCCCAGGGTGAGGCAGGAGTGCCCTAGCTGCACTAATCTGCTAACAGGAGGTACTCACACTGTCCCAAGGTACATTCTGTGTGTCAGGGTCACTGCTGCTGACCAGCTGTTTTTATAGAGGACTCAGAGTTTCAGAAATATATTTTTGTAGACAATGACTAAACTGTGAAACATTGAAATAAAGCACGTAAACAAAAACTTACAGCACTGTCCTCTGTACAGATGTTTTTCTGAATTCAGTTCCCTTCTGACTCCTTAGACAATGTTTGATTACTTCTTGGATATATTTTAATAAAGTTCCCCAAAGAACATGGCTGCTGTCTGTGGAAGGGTGGTCTTCGGTACAGTATGGAAGGGGAGGGTTGAAAACCTGTACAGGTGAGTGTCTGCATCAGTTCTGCTTTTCTCAGGCTAGGTAAGTTCCACATAATCAGTCCCTGGATCAGCCATTCTGGCAAATTACTTTCTTTGGATTCTGGAGTAATGACCATCAGTCAAGGCTGTGAAGGAGACAGGCTGCAGAAGAAGCTATCTTCAGTGCTTGAGGGACAGCTTTAGATGTAGCCTGCTGGTTACTTACCTGACATCTCACAAGCTGAAATCGTGGTGTCTGGTTTTGCAGCCATTTAAGTCTCTAACAGCAGCAGCTGTCTTGACCCTCTTACAGTAACATAGGATTTGAGATTAACACACAGAATTAGCCCATGAAACTGATTTTTCACACTTGTAGTAGAAGTTGGCACAACAGAGTTAGCATAGAAAAGTTGTTAGGTATTTCATAAATTGAAGTTCATTCATGTTTCACAGCCTGTGCTCCCTGGGTTGATCATTAATGACAGTTAGGAAAGCCCTAGTATTGGTGGATTTTACCACTGTAGGTCTAGCTGGTGCTGTGTGCCTTTGGAATATCCAGCACCATGCTTGGGAGATGGAGAGTGCTGGCCTGCCTTACCATGGTCCGAGCTGGTGGACAGGAAGAGGACACGACATAGGAGTTAGTAAATCCAGTGCTATGTGGTAAAGCAAAACTCAGAGATGCTGTACAGTGCAGGATAGAGCCATTAGACTACCAAAGGTAGATCCTGCTTCCAAAAAATCTTGAACTGTCTCTTGTGTAATAACCTGTTTTAGAATCTGATCAGTATTTAATCTGTGTGACACATCAGGACTAAAATTACAGCATAAAGAGGACAGATAATGGGATGAAATCCATTTCTGAGGATAGGCAGATTGCACAAACTGATACCAGGCAGTGCCTTACCCATTTCCCAGTCAGTACACTGCATCCCTCTAACTGGAAAGTAACAAAGAGGAAATGTCATTACTCGGAGCACCTCGGTACAATCACTTGAATAAATGAAAGTGAAAGCAAGCAACTTGCCTTTGCTGGTGCTAATTCAGTGTCAAATGGGACTCTGCCAGTGAGGAAACTGTACATGCACAAGAAGAAAACTACCTACTTCCACAGGAGTTTCCTTGTTCTGGTATGGAGTATCGGCTTCTGCTCCTCATTCCAGTTTCCACCAGTGCTACTGTGTCGCTACTGCACGAACAGAAGCATGTAAAATTGCATGTCATTTTTCTAACCGTAGGATTCTGAAGTATTTTGTGGCTGTTCATACTGAAAAGGAGCAGGTTTAGGGCATTGTGCTATGCTACATGAGAACTGTTTAAGCATCAGCCAGTCGTGATTGCTGGGTTCGTTCACATAACGATTTTGTATCTCAGTCTCTCCCTGAACACGTTGCCTTTCGGAGTCCGGAGCGCCCAGCCCCGCGGTGGGACCCAGCCCGAGAGGCGGGCGCTGCTTTCCCTGTGTGCTTACCTCAAAACCTAGGTTAAACCGCCTTACTTTCTGCCATAATTTCAGGTTTTGGAGTTCGTGCGAGGCTCCTGCCCGCGC